AAAATTTAAATGCTAAACCCTAAACATTAACCCTAGTTCTAAATACTAAATCCCAAAAACTCAAATAACATAAATCATAAACTCTAAATACTAAAGGTTAAATGCTAAATTTGGTCCCTCAACTTTATGAAATGCACATTTTTGATCCCTCAACAAATTTTTGCACTTTTTTGATCCCTCAACTATACAAAATGTACTCCATTAGTCCTTCTGTTAATTTGGGCCGTTAACCCTGCTTAGGTGGCATTTTTTATATTTTTTTTTTATGATGTGGAGAGCAGAACTTAAAAAAATGATGATATGCATAAAACTTTTGCCATGTCACATGCTACCCTGTTGAAAATGCGCCAAATCCATCTAAATGGGTCCCACATCACCACTAAGAATTGCTTCTTTGCCCATCGGTTACTGTTTCTATTCTTTCCATAAACGGTGTTCTTTCCATTTTCAAGATTGAAGCTCAACAAAACCCAGCAGATCTGGGTTCGATGTAACCTAGCAAATAGGTTCCATCGAACCCAGCTTAATTCACTGAATTCAATTGCCCAAAAATCCCTCACAACAACCTGCAATTTGGATAATCTGTTGGTAAACAATTATATAACAAAAAAAAAATCAGTTGCCCAAAAATCCCTCGCAATAACCTGCAATTTGGATAATCTCTTGGCGAACAATCATATAACAAAAAAAAAAACCAGTTGCCCAAAAATCCCTCACACAACAACCTGCAATTTGGATAATCTCTTGGCAAACAATCATATAAACAAAAAAAAAAAAAAAAAGTGGAGTTGGGTTCTGGGTTCCGTCGAACCCAGCAAATCTAGGTTTGATGGAACCCATTTGCTAGGTTTTGTCGAACCCAACAACTAGGTTCGCTGGAACCCAGTTTGTTGGAACCCAGGTGGGGTTCCGTCGAACCCAACAAACTGGGTTCGATGACTTGAGGAAGAAGAGGAAGAAAAAAAAAAAAAGAAAAAGAGAAAGGAAGAAGATGAACGGAATTTTTTTATTTTATTTTTTAAAAATATAAATAGTAATCATGTGAGTTGGCATGAAAAAAAATTCCACATCAACACGTTTTCAATTTGTTTTTGCCACATCATCAAAAAAATTATAAAAAATGCCACATGAGCGAGTTAACGGTCGAAATTAACAGAAGGACTAACGGAGTGCATTTCTTAAAGTTTAGGGATCAAAAAAGTGTAAAAAAATATTACGGGACCAAAAATATGCAACTCACTAAAGTTGAGAGACCAAATTTAGCATTTAACCAATACTAAACCCTAAATTCTAAAAATATAAAACTTAACCCTTAAATACTAAATCTTAAACTTTAAATACTAAATCCTAAATTTTAAAAATATTAAACCATAAGCCCTAAATATTAAACTCTAAATTAAATCTTAAATAAAGTATGAAATTAAAAAATAATTTAAAAACTTAAAGGATGAAAATAAATTTAAATGTTAAACATAGGGATCAATTTATAAATTTGACCATAAGTGAAACCAGTAAACTAACGGATGTGGAAATGCCAC